TTTCCCCCATTTTTGTAAAAACAACGAACATCAATGATATTAAATCAAGAATCAATAGTCATTTTCTTGTTTAGTTCGTAAAATGTCTTGACAAAAGTTGCATTTGCCAACCAAGAGGACTAAAGAATGTGTTCGTTTTTGAATGTTCTCTTTTGCTAATTTGCTTAAAAAAATATAAACAAATTGAATAGAAGAAATTTGTAAGCATTTTCAGCAACATAAACTCTTCAACCAGATGATCTTCACCGTGTTATGCCTATACTGGGAAAGAGTTAAAACAATATTCCTGTTCAGTGGTCTACTAAGAGATTTTGTCAAATTTTAAGGAATTTAACTTAGAACAAAAGCAGCAGAAGCAGCCTGACAAATATGCACAGAATTTAGGGAAGATGACGCGAAGGACTGAATTGTTCAGAAGCAGATCAAGAGATTTCATTTGGAAAGGAATCAATTGATTAGATGAAAGCCCGTAAAGAACGTCCGGTGAGCAATGGGGATGACCAGCTGTGAACTTGCGTTGGATCTCACCGTTTCAAATGCGTCAGACGCTTGTATTAAATTTCATTTTAATTTATATATAATGATGAGGTAATGTTTGCTAAAGCTCTGGATTATAAAATGACACACATTAGGAAAATTAGTGAATTTAAACCTCATTAAATAAATGAAAATAAAACCGTAAATGAACTCTTTTTGTATATTTCTTACAGTTTCCAAATTATCCAGATTTACTGATTCGCGATTAACCCCAGAAAGGAATAAGGTCTAAATTGGACATGATGATGGCACCACAGACCACTATTAATGATACTGACAATTTCAATATATCATAAAGAAAATGGAAAGGTCAAAGTTCACCATTTAATAAGGGAACACTATTTACATTATTCGGACTATTATCCTCATCTTTGTCGCCATATTTATTACAACGTTTCGGCCTTTCAGTATCTGTCTATATTTCTGAGATGAGGTATTATGTACACTATTTAAATTATTCGGACTATTGTCCTCATCTTTGTCGTCATATTTATTACAACGTTTCGGCTTTTCAGTATCTGTCTATATTTCTGAGATGAGGTATTATGTACACTATTTACATTATTCGGACTATTGTCCTCATCTTTGTCGACATATTTATTACAACGTTTCGGCCTTTCAGTATCTGTCTATATTTCTGAGATGAGGTATTATGTACACTATTTACATTATTCGGACTATTGACCTCATCTTTGACGTCATATTTATTACAACGTTTCGGCCTTTCAGTATCTGTCTATATTTCTGGGATGAGGTATTATGTACACTATTTACATTATTCGAACTATTGTCCTCATCTTTGTCGTCATATTTATTACAACGTTTCGGCCTTTCAGTGTCTGTCTATATTTCTGAGATGAGGTATTATGTACACTATTTACATTATTCGGACTATTGTCCTCATCTTTGTCGTCATATTTATTACAACGTTACGCCCTTTCAGTATCTATATATATTTCTGAGATGAGGTATTATGTACATTATTTACATTATTCGGACTATTGTCCTCATCTTTGTCGTCATATTTATTACAACGTTTCGGCCTTTCAGTATCTGTCTATATTTCTGGGATGAGGTATTATGTACACTATTTACATTATTCGGACTATTGTCCTCATCTTTGTCGTCATATTTATTACAACATTTCGGCCTTTCAGTATCTGTCTATATTTCTGAGATGAGGTATTATGTATACGATTTACATTATTCGCACTATTGTCTTCATCTTTGTCGCCATATTTATTGTAACGTTTCGGCCTTTCAGTATCTGTCTATATTTCTGAGATGAGGTATTATGTACACTATTTACATTATTCGGACTATTATCCTCATCTTTGTCAAATGGTTTATTACAACGTTTCGGCCCTTCAAACTGTCTATATTTCTGAGATGAGGTATTATGTACACTATTTACATTATTCGGACTATTGTCTTCATCTTTGTCGCCATATTTATTGTAACGTTTTAAACCTTTCAGTATCTGTCTATATTTCTGAGATGAGGTATTATGTACACTATTTAATTATTCGGACTATTATCCTCATCTTTTTCGCCATATTTATTACAAATTTTCAGGCCTTTCAGTGTCTGTCTATATTTCTGAGATGAGGTATTATGTATACGATTTACATTATTCGAACTATTGTCGTAATCTTTGTTGCCATACTTATTGCAACGTTTCGGCCCTTCAATATCTGTCTATAGTTCTGAGATGAAAGATTATGTATATTTTTACATTATTCGGAATATTGTCCTCATCTTTGTCACCATTATTTATTACAACAATTTATATAATTGTGGGTTGTATCAAAGGGCCTTCTTCAAGGTTGGAATGTCGGATATGAACCCTTTTTTTGCTCACTGGTGTAGACAACTTTGTTCCACGTTCCATGTCTAATGGATGTCAGACAACTATTTCCCATAAAAGTTCTCCAAATGCTTAACCAGGTATTGAACCCACACACTTTGGGTCCTGTCGCTGGATCTAACTAACACCTTTATCCACTGTGGTTAAGTCAGTCGAGAACTTGAAGAGGGGAATTAACAGGAGATATCTGATAACTGACATCCATTAAACATGGCACATGCTAACATTTTCTTTTATTTGCATTTCTAACTTTTCAGACTCCATGCTTTCTGGACAACTTTGATCTTCAAAAATCCTCCTAAAGATTTGAACACCGTAAATTTTCTTCCTTATACTTTTTCTATGATTATTTACATGATTATTGTTTGGATGAGCTCTTCGCTATGGTAGCTGGACTTTATGAATTTAAGCGCAATATTAGACTGGCGTCGAGATCTCATCAATTTACAGTTTAGCTCGGTGGATGTAGCCTTAGGCTCTTTGCTAACAGCTTCTTTTCTCGCTTCAGAAACTCAATTCAGGTTCCATGCTTTCTGACATAATGGAATATGCATACACCTGTGTTCCCCCCTCACTGTAATATGATTGGCTGGAAAATTATATATACTCATCATAAATGGAAATGCTTAATACAAATCAATATTTTTAAAAATAATTTTGAAGTTTTTTGCATGTGTATAAACGTGCCGGTTTTTGTAAGTACGGGTGACCATAAACGATATTATCAGAAAATAAGAGGGATAACACCAGTAAATTTAAGGTTAGCATTTCTAAAATTCAATAAAGAATTAGATTATGGAGAATATTCTATTTTTTTAAGGATACTGAGTACTTAAAAATTGAATAAGAAAAGGCTCTCAAGTTATTCCCATCTATTATATTTACAGATAAAGTCTCCGTAGAAGAATATTAGATTTGTCATCACGCTGTCAAAGACGTCCACACGGTTACTGTCACGGTTACAAAATGTATTTTTGCGATATTTTAAACTTAAAATAAATTATATTTATTTCAAATTAGATAAATTATAGTTCACCTCAACTGATATTCCTCGAATAAAATTTCAGAAAAATATATTTTATTTTTGAAAGATTTTTTCATAAACAGAATCACATTCTGGTGAAAGACCTCTAGGAAAGGGTAATAATCAGCTATTTTAGAAAAAAAAAAACTCCGTTCAATTCAAATTAGTTTTTTGAAATAGAGCAAGGTATTTTGCTTATAGGAAATATTAAATTTGATCTATTAGCTTGAAATTAAAACTGAAATAAAAGCTTTAAGAAAGATTTTTCATTTTTTAAAATTCATTTTCAACTTGAGGTATCGCGTTTTGGAGTGGAGGTCCCTATTGAAAAGATTTTCCAGATTGTTCTATTATCTCCACTTTGTTTTGGATACTATTCTAGATCCTATCAACACTCATTCTCTTGATAGTATTAACCGTGGCACAGAAAATACTACATTGAATATATTGTAAATGAGCAGAAATTATTTTACGACAGGAATTCTTTGCAAACTATTTGAAGCCTTGTCTCTTTGTAACCTGGGGAAGGAAAGATCAATATTTATTAAGCAAATACATCAGAACTACAATTCCTTCTCATGATCACATATAATGACAATACAAATTCTAAAAGAATATTGCAATTTATTTTATAATAGAAATTCTTTTCAAATTGTTTAATTTAGAAACACATTATAATTTATTTTAATGTAATTTTTTTTTTGTCTAAGAAAGGATACATTGTCCATTTCATAATGTGTGACGTCATTTGTTTACATTTCATAAGCATTGAGCAGATATGAATATAGGAGAGAAAATCATGGGTGTGGCACCTTGCATTATTAGAAATATTCATAGAAATATGATTTAATTTTTTTTTAATTTTTTCACTCGGTTTATTAAACAGGTTGTTAGTTTTTTTTAGACGAAGAATAATTGAGTTTTGAAAATAATTCACTAAGTTGTACTTAGACGATCCTAAAAGAAAAGAAAAAAAAGAAAAAAGGAAGAAAAAAAAAAAAAAAAAGAGAGATGGATGATGCAAAACCCAGTCATTAGTGAAAAAAAGGTGTCAGAAAGATATCTTGGCCAACATGTTGGCCGAATTTCGAAGGACAATGGGGATTTTATTATTTAGAATTAAAAGTCATTTAGAGAGTGGAAGGGGCCATGCTTGATAAGAGTGTATTGATAATAAAAAAATATCGGTCGAAGCATCTGACCGACTTTTTGTCCATAGAAAGACTCATTATCAATTTGGAGAAAAGGGAATTTTTTAGAACAATGGAAACGAAATTTTAATCGGAGGAAAGGTGTCTTTTGGGTTGAGGGGGTGACCGGTGGAACTGTATACAGATTCTGACCTGTTAAAAATTGGAAACCCACGATGATGAAATGGAGACATTTTCAATTCAGATAATTAAGATTTTTTTGACTATCAGGTCTGACCAAAAAAACAAGAGGTGAAAAAACGATTGTCTCGGCTCACAGATAGCGAAAATATTCTTTCCTGAAGTCACATCTAATTAGCGGCAGGCTGTTTTGACAGAACCCAAGGTGAGAAAAAGCCAAGATTATCATTTTTCGTACGTG